TGTTGGATCTATTATTAGCAATGTTGGCACCTGAGGACCTGAGGGTTGGGAGCTGTGTGGTACAGTGCTGGCCCCATGGCCAAGAAGCTGGTGAGTACATGGCCTACAAGCTGGTGAGGAACAGAGGAGAATGACAACAATGAAGATGGAGAGAAGCGGCCCCTGAGAAGCAGGGGCTGAAGGAGTAGCTGTGTTACTGGTTGAGGGTCTTGACTATGAGTGGTCCAGGTTCTTGGCATTTTGAACAAAGAACTGGACAAAATGCACAAAGAAAGCAACAAGAGAATGAAGCAAAAGATTTAACAAAAGCACAAGAGTACACTCTACAGAGTGGGAGTAGGCTTTAACAAGCAGCTGAAGAGCCTTGGTTACAGAATTTTCTAGGGTTTAAATACCCTTTAGAGGTTTCCCACTGGTTACTTGGTTACACCCTATGTAAATGAAAACCTGGCCCACGACCAGTCTGATTGGTTGTGGGAGGGGACCAGTTAGAGGTACTTTCCATTTTTTCTCTGTGAGGCAGTGGAAAGGCGAGGTTGTAAAGGGAGTGGCTTCTGATCCTTTCCTTACTTGGGCATGGAGAGGTGGGGTTTTGTTTTGATTCAGTTCTCGGAAGTCAGTGCAAGTTGGCCTTAGGTTCCTGCCTCTAGACCCTGTTGTCCTGCCTCAGCTGGGCACGTTTGTACAGGAGAGCCTCAGTAACCACTCAGATAAACACCTGAAGCCAAATATACTTGAAGTTGAGAGGAGAGATGAAGGGCACATGAAATATTAATTAATATAAAACAAATAGCCAGGCAAGGTGGCTCACACCTGTAATCCCAGCACTTTGGGAGGCTGAGGCGGGCGGATCACAAGGTCAGAAGATCGAGACCATCCTGGCTAACTCAGTGAAACACCATCTCTACTAAAAAAAAAAAAAAAAAAGAAAAAATTAGCCGGGTGTGGTGGCACGCGCCTGTAGTCCCAACTACTCAGGAGGCTGAGGCAGGAGAATTGTTTGAATCCAGGAGGTGGAGGTTGCAGTGAGCCAAGAGCGCACCACTGCACTCCATCCCAGGCTACAGAGCAAGACTCAGTCTAAAAAAGAAAAAAAAATTGTTATAAGGTTGGGCATGGTGGCTCATGCCTGTAATCCCAGCATTTTGGGAGGCTGAGGCAGAAGAATTGCTTGAGCCAGGAGTTTGAGATCAGCCTGGGCAACATAGTGAGACCTTGTCTCTACAAAAAAATAAATAAATTAGCCAGGTGTGATGGCACATGCCTGTCTGTAAACCCGGTTATTTGGGAGGCTGAAGTGGGAGGATCGCTTGAGGAGGTCGAGGCTGCAGTGAGCCATGATTGTGCCATTACACTCCAGCCTGGGTGACAGAATGAGACCCCATTTCAAAAATAAATTCAATAGAAATTGTTAGCTACTTATTGGGACTACAGGTGAAATGGGCCCATGGACCATTCTTTTGGATAAATATCGACATTGATCCTTCTGCTGCTAAAGCTTGAAACTTGTATTTGTTTTGTCTAAGTTCCTTTCTCAGGAAAGGACTTTCAGGCCTCTCAAACATAGGATCAGAGAACTGAAATAGGTCAGAACCTTCCCATTTATCTGTCACCCAGTCAGGTCCCCCTGAATGGTAGCCAGATTGCTTAAAAGAGACTAAAACCAAAGGCATTTTTTGTACATCTGATGCAACAGGTGTTTTAACAGATGGGGGCACCAGATGCCCTCTTGCCCCTCCCTCGTTCTTACTTTCTTACACATTGTTACATTTGTTCCCTGCTATGGACACTCCTAGTTTCAATCAGGGAGATGGATTTGAGACTGAGCCCCCATCTCCTCTGCAGCACCCGATTAACGCCTTCTTCCTTGGCAATACTTGTCTCAGTGATTGGCTTTCTGTACAGAGAGCAGCAGGACCTAGGCCAAATGCCTGGTATTTCGGGAACAATGGGATGACCTTCTTAGAATTCAGAGATAAATACATTCTCTTCCTTTTTTCTTCCTCCTTCACTCTTGATTTTTATTACTTCTTCTGGGAGCCATTAACGTCCTCTGGTTTTTGGCTTTTCTACAGTGTTGTCTTACTTAATCAACAGGACATTCTAACATGCTAAGAACAAGAGTGGGATGGTTTGAAACTTAGTTGAGGACAGTCTCAGAAGAGCTGAAAGAGAGCAGATATACCCCAAAGCAGGGGGTGGAAGGCAGCCTGGGTAAGACTCCCATTCTCAGGTCCCACCTGGGGCAGAGCCTAGGAAGCGATAAACTTAGGAGCTCATCAGGGCAAGCTGAGTTTGAGTTCTTTTTCTTTTTTACAGATAAGAGAACTGAGGCATGGTGAGGGTTAGTGGTCCAAGATGACATGGTGAACTGGGGGCAGGAATGGGGCCAGAGTGCAGTGTTGTGATTCTGACCATATGCCTTTCCCTGAAGTTCACTGGACATTGGTGGATGCCACTCTTATGCCGCTTTGCCATAATTTTAAACGAAGCCATGTGTTTTTAGTACTTTATCCACGTTTTAGGCAGAATATAAGCATTTTTTAGAATTTATTTACTTTTATTTTTTGTAGATGGGGTTTCACCATGTTGGTCAGGCTGGTCTTGAACTCCCGACCTCAGGTGATCCGCCCGCCTTGGCCTCCAAAGTGCTTGGATTACAGGCGTGAGCCACCACGCGCAGCCCAATTTTTTTATTTTTGAGATGGAGTCTTGCTCTATCACCCAGGCTGCATTGCAGTGGCCTGATCTCGGCTCACTGCAACCTCCGTCTCGGCTCACTGCAACCTCCGTCTCCCGGATTCAAGCGATTCTCCTGGCTTAGCCTCCCAAGTAGCTGGGACTACAGGTGCAGGCCACCATGCCCAGCTAATTTTTTTTTTTGTATTTCTAGTAGAGACAGAGTTTCACCATGTTAGCCAGGATGGACTTGAGTTCCTGATCTTGTGATCCGCCCACCTTGGCCTCCCAAAGTGCTGGGATTACAGGCGTGAGCCACTGCGCCCAGCCAAAATTTTTATTTATTTTTGTTGAGATGGGGTCCCACTTTGTCACCCAGGCTAGAGTACAGTGGCACAATCGTGGCTCACTGCAGCCTTGACCTCCTACTTTTTATCTACTTTGCCTCCTACCAACTCCCATGCTTTCTCTGGAAGTCCTGAACCACCATGCAAATAAACTTGTTTTTCTTAGCATCTGTGCAAGTCTGGAGACATGAAACTCACAGATTGCCTCATCATAGAGCTGTCGTACCAGAGATCTGTATCTTATTTACTGATAGGACAGATATGTTTGAAATCACCAGCATCACTCTGGGACAGGTGGAGGGAGGCGGCTGCTCACAGCCCACCTCCAAGGCTCCAGGACACACTCAGAGCAGTGACATTCCCATATGTGACAGCAAGATGGGAGCTGGACTCAAAACAGGTCAGAACCTTCCCATTCATTTGTCATCCAGTCTGGCCCCCTGAATGGTGGCCAGATTGCTTAAAAGAGACTAAAACCAAAGGCACGTTGTACATCTGATGTAACAGGTATTTTATAGCACAATATGCTTCTCCTCCCCAACAGACTTTTCATGAGTATGTGGAGAGGGAGGGTGTCTTTACAGGTAAGAAAGTATAACTTTAATGAGAAGGAAGCAATTAGCATTTAATTGGTGATTTACTTTTTTTTTTTTTTTTTTTTTTTGGGGATGGAGTTTCGCTCTTGTGGCCCAGGTTGGAGTGCAATGGTGCGATCTCGGCTCACCACAACCTCCACCTCCCAGGTTCAAGCGATTCTCCTACCTCAGCTTCCTGAGTAGCTAGGATTACAGGCATGCACCACCACACCTGGCTAATTTTGTATTTTTAGTAGAGATGGGGTTTCCCCATGTTGGTCAGGCTGGTCTTGAAATCCCAACCTCAGGTGATCTGCCAGCCTAGGCCTCCCAAAATGCTGGGATTACAGGTGCGAGTCACCGTGCCCAGCCCTTGGTGATTTACATTCTGTATCCAAACACTTTGCCTTTGGAAAAACCAAAGGGCAGCTTCCATTACATTCTAGAATGATGTTCACCTTGATCCGTCCCAGGTGTGAGGGGATGGAGAGGTTCCTGTAGTTGGCCCTGTCTCAGGCAATGACCAGATCAACTTAGTTTCTCTCTGGTCCTCTGCCATTCTGGAAATTCCTTCCATAGGAATGAATAGACCTGAACCAGCCAGTTCCTCAGTCCCAGGAGGGGGCCTATGGCAGAGGGCTGCCAAGCCTTTCTGAAGCAGTAAGGGCAGCCCTGGCTGGAGACATTTGACATGGATTCCAGTGAGACCCCGCCTCCTGGTGCATCCTGCAAAGTCTGATCCTGCTCAGGAAAGTGGCTCAACTGGAAAGCGGAAGAGAAAGGGGCACACCACACGTGCCTCCCACGCACCCAGCCTAGGGTGCTGCTTGGTGACTCATGGTGACGTGGGGAGGCGGATGTCACAGATCATCCTGCTGGGTGTCTTTAGAAGGCAAGCACACTCAGGGTAGAGGGAGACCCTGGGGGTAAGGAGTACATACACGCTGAAAAAAAGACAATATTTTCTTGGTATACATTTCAGTATGGGATACACTGCCATCTGCCTGGACAGATGGATGTGTGGGGAAGCACACACGCCGGCATGTCCTGCCTGGGGCGGGCTGAGTGTTCCCTGTTGTGGCCTTGCCTACTCTGCGTCTGCGGTTACAGTTCCTGGTGTGCCAGGGAGAAGAGGGCCTTCTATACTGAGCCCTTACTGTTTATGGCAACTGCCTTGAATGGTCATTGATTTCAAACTTGCCTACAAGGCAGAATATATCCCAGAGAACCGAGGATTTTGTTAATGTTTACAGGCCCTCGTAGATCCCCACAGGGAAGCTGAAATAGTAATCCTGAAAATGACAGTGGGGGTGACCCCTTACCCACTCTGGGGGCTCACGCCTATGGCTCTGGAGGCTTTTGGTGGTTGACACAGAATTAAGAATAAAATGGGAAAGGACAAGTTTAAAAGTCAGAATATATTTCACTGAAAATATGTGTATGTGTGTGCCTTCGAGAGAGAATGCTCCCCAAGGGAGACTCACAGAGTTCCTTGCAACATAAACAAGAACTAGATGTAATGGTTTCACTCACTAGAAAACTAGCAGCATCATTTTGTGCCTGGGGCATTCCCCAGGGGTCACCATCCAGCAGCCACTCCCAGGGAGCAGAGGATGCCTGTCAGAACAGCTATAATTCATCCATCATGGCGAGCAAATCGTCCCCCTTGCTGGTGCTCAGGCTCGGCTGCTCCGTGATCTCAAACTCCCCCATGATTCGTGCCAGCTCCTCGCTCCGTTGCTGGTCCTATTAGGGAAATGAGAGGTAAAAGGGCATGAGGAGGGTGTGCTGGCAGGCTGCCTCTTCACCACTGATACGCTTCAGTTGCCCACCTGTTTGTCAGAAAAGGGACTGTAGTTACAGGCCGATGAAGAGGGTCTGTTTTTTTTTTTTTTTCCTTAATCAACATGTATGTAACCAAGCATCCCTGGCTGCTACAGAATAGCAGACAGGTGTAGTTAAGAAACAACTTTAATTTCAGCAGGGGGAATGACAATACAGCACTAACAGCTATATTGTAGTCTGATTCCTGCTTGAAAAAGAGGGTTTCTGAAGTTCAGCGTTATATAAAAGAAGGGAAGCTGGGCACAGTGGCTCACCTCAGTAATCCCAGCACTTTGGGCAGATCACTCGAGGTCAAGAGTTTAAGACAAGCCTGGCCAACTTGGTGAAACCCTATCTCTACTAAACACACACACACACACAAAAAAATAGCCGGGCATGGTGGTGGGTGCCTGTAATCCCAGCTACAAGGCAGGCTGAGGCACGAGAATCGCTTAAACCTGGGAGGTGGAGGTTGCAGTGAGCCAAGACTGAGCCACTGCACTTCACCTGAAGGGAATAAGATGGACCCTGTGCAATCCCCTGTACACACCTGCGTAGCTTGTATGTTGATAACTTCATAGGATAACTCTTCAGGCCTGGTTAGCGCTGCTTGTCTGGATGAGATGGTAAAGAAAATGGGTGCAAAGTTAGAGTTCTCTCCCTGCCATGGCAAACTAGCTCTTGCCTATTGTTTCTGCCTCATCTTCTGCCATTTCTCTTAAACTTTCTACCCCATCTCCCACCAGTATGCCCTACGATGTAGAAAGTCAAGTTCTTTTATGTCTCTGTGACTTTGCACATACTAAGCTCTGCCAAGAATGCTTCTTCCCTTCCTCTGCTTGGCAAACTCCAAGAACTAGATCAAACGCCGTCTCCTTCAATCTGCCAGTGCAGAGTCAATCATTGTCCTCAATTACAGCATTCACAACATGGCACTGAAATAACCTATATATGTACATGTTCATTCTCCCACTAAGCTGAGAGCTTCCTGAGGACAGGCTCTAGGTCTTATACTCCATCTTTGTGTCCCCAGGACTTTACATAGTACCTGTCACACAGAAGTAAACAAAAGAAGTTATTAATAGTTCAATGAATGGGAAATAGAAGGTGACACCCACCCCAAATACTTGGTTGTGAGGAGGATCATGAGATAATGCGTGCAAAAGTGCTCTGTAAACCGTAAGCACTGCAAATCACTGTGGCTGATTTACTATTGCTATTGGTTTTGGGTGATACTGTGATACTGTCTAATGCAGAGAAATCAAGCTCCGACCTCACTCTGGTTTCTTAACACACCATCTTAATCTGTTCATCCTGTTTTCTAACACACCTTATTCAGCCATGCTCTGATAAGTAAAACATTATAACTCCTTTATGGCTTTATTATTATTATTTTTTAGAGACAGGGTGTTGCTCTGTTGCCCAGGCTGGAATGCAGTGACACAACCATAGCTTGCTTAACTTTAAACTCCTGGGCTCAAGCGATGCTCCCGCCTCAACCTCCTGGGTAGCTGGGAGGTGCACACCATCACACCACCTTTTTTTTTTTTTTT